TTCAATTCAACAGTTGGTTCGTTTGTCGATGTGAACTTTCTCTTTTTCTATTTCTCTCTCTCTCTCTCTCATGTTGATATTTATGAATAAATAAACATATAAATAATATAAGTTAAGCTCATCATAGCAGTCATATGCTACAAAATGAACTATTACAAATTTTGCATATCTCAATGGAATTGGTAAATAAAACCATTTTTAGCTGATTAAGTACATACATTTTAACCCACGCACAACTACTGCGACACCAACTTTTTTCTTGTATTTTTTTCTAGTAAAAACAACAACTGCAACACCAACAACAATAACATCAATAGCAACAGCAACAGCATCAATGAGAACCAAAAAAGAAGCAGAAGAAATATAAAAAAAAATCCGTAAAAGTGTAACAACGATAGCATAAACAACAGGCACTTTAACTTAACATCTGATCTGAAGTTTAATTCAAATCAAATTCTGTTATTACATTGCGATGCACGTGCGTGCGTGTGTGTGTGTGTATGTGTGTCCGTGTGTGTGTGTATGTGTGCGTACGTGTGTGCGTATGTGTGTGTCCGTGTGTGTGTATGTGTGCGTGCGTGTGTGTAGTTTGCGTGCGCGTGTGTGTGTATTTATTACGCAGTTCTAGTGTTAATAACAATCTTGTTAGACGTGTTGATTATTTTGAAATAACTCTCATATAAGTTGAAATGGTTATATTGATATAATAGTATGGTCGAGATGATATGGACATTGATAATGAATGAGATCTTGATGATTACGGTGATGCAGATTATGATGATGGTTATTATTATTATTATTATTATTGATAGTATAATGTGTTTTATTATTTTTTATTATTCATCCTAATGTCACTTTGTCTCTAATCACTTTGTCATACGGTGATGCAGATTATGATGATGGTGATAATGACGACGACGATGGTGATGACGATGATGATGATGGTGGAATAGTAACAGTGTAATAATAAAACTCGTCCTCATCAGCATAAAAATCCAACTCATGGTCCCACCTACGTATTTCTTTGCTAGGCAATTACAAAAAATAAAAACAATAATAATAGAAATAATAGTTATAGTACTACTATTACTAATAACAATAATAATTATTGTAATAATAGTAATAATAATAATAATAATAATAATAATAATATGAATGACCCCATAGTTCATCCCTCGAAATTCTTCTTTTGTATGTTTGTTTGTATTTTTTTTTATTATTCGTTTGTTTATATTGTTGTTTATCCGTTTGTTTGTTTGTTTGTTGTTTTGTTTGTTGTATATGACTGCTTATGTAGGTAACAATTATGTATGTTTTCGGCCGGGTAACTAACTAGACAACAGAAATGCCAAGAGTAATGAATACATGTAACGCAACACTGACAGTACTGTTGCACTTGCATTAGACATTGTTCTAAGGTAAGAAATAAGATGGAGAAGGAGAAAAAAATGACGACATCAATAATTTTAATAATAATAATAACAACAACAACAATTACAGCAACAACTACAGCAACAACACAACTTTGTAAACTATGGTTAATTATTTGCTATTAAGTCATCAGAGGCAACAACAAAACTCCCATTGCAATTTCACAACAACTATCCAACAATCCTAAAACAAAAACCATCACAACAGCATGCTTACAACTTTTATGTACCAAAAAAAAACAACAAACAAAACTAACATTAGACAGCAGCAACAACAACACTCAACAGCAACAACATCAACAACAACAACAACAACACACAACAACAGTAACAGCAATGCAACAGTTGCAATAAAATCACATATATTGTCATTAACAATGGTACGCACCAGCAAACAAACAAATGGAGGTTAAACAATTAACCTTACATGTGCGTGCAATGGACGTTTGTGGCCAATGTGGATGCTTTTGTAGTTGCAGTTGTTGCTGCTGCAGTTGTAGTAGTAGTGGTTGTGCCAGTAATTGTAGTTTTATAACTACTAGTAGTAGTAGAAGTAGTTAGTAGTAGTAATAGTAAACGTACACATACACATACATGCACATCTAGACATACACATACACAACATACATAGCATTAATACTTTTGAAAAATATTTTCCAACAGGCGGGCCACTGGGTTTGCATGAAGCGGCAGCATTTTTAAGTGGTGGCCCTGGCGAGATGGGCCTCGTGTCGCGCAATCCTAACTCCCCCACACCAGGTGGCGATCCACACCATCCTCTGCTACATCCACACGACCAACACTACTCGCCGCATCTACAACAACAGCAGCAACAGCAACTGCATCAAGCTCTACAGCAGCAACAATCTTTCGCCCGATTTCAACAACAAGTCGCGTTGAGGCAACATTCTCACCAGCAACAACAACAACAGCAACAACAGCAACTTCAACAACAACAACAACTTCAACAACAGCAGCAGCTGCAACTACAAACAAATGTTCCTGTTTCCTCAGTGCAACAACAAAACACGCCGACTGGTCAGACGGAACTTCCGGCTGAGATATGGTGATGATTGTGATGTTTAAATGACCGTGATGATGATGATGATTGTGATGTTCAAATGACCGTAGTGATGATGATGATGGTGTGATAATGATGATGTGATGTTGATAGGTAGCCGTTGCATGATGATGGTTGGTCGTGATGATGATGAGGATGATAATGCCTATGACGGCGATGATGATGATGATGATGATGATGACGACCGCTAATATAATTACACAACAATTTGCCAGGCCGTATTTATGAATATTTTAATTGAAAGTATTTTATTTTCAAATTTGTGTAAAGTAAAATTTTCTTTAATTTTTTGACATCGTCGAATGGAATTTTTTAAGAACGATAATTTAGTCTTCATGAAAAAGACTTAAATGTACATAGATAACATTTCGACTAAATACGTGTCTGTAATATATATACATAAATATATATGTGTGTTTGTGTGTGTGTGTGTGTGTGTAGGGTGTGTATGTGAGTGAGTGTGTATGTGTAACAGCATATGTGTGTATATATAAAACAATTTTCATTGATTTTTAAATTTATTAAAACCTTTTAATTTATTTAATTAAGTCTTTATAGGATGTATAAATATATATAATTTTTTAATAATTGAATGTTTATATATTTATTAACATTTTGTAGTATGTAATTATAATTAATTTTATTTATTTCTACGTTTATTTATTAATTCATTCATTCATTCATTCACCCACTCATTCATTATTTTAATAATTAAACTATAATTATTGAGTCACCATGTTTCTGGTCAGAAAAAAATTAAATCGTTCAATAAATAACCGAAAATTATTCTTTTAATGACCAACCAACCAAAACCAACTAGCCAGCCAACTAACGAACCAAACAACTAGCCAACCTACTAACCAACCAGCCAGTCAACTAATCAACCAAACAACCAGCCAACCAACTAGCCAACCAGCCAGCAAACCATCCAGCCAACCAACTAACCAAACAACCAACCAAACAACCAGCCAACCAGCCAGCAAACCAACCAGCCAACTAGCAACCATTCAAATTAAGAAAATGAGAATGAATTGAGAATGTTGGACGTTCAATCGATTGAGGAAGTCTCGGCCAGCCAGATAATTTCTAATTTATGTGGCGCTTAATTAAATGAGAGCGCTCGGCTAAATAGCATTTCAAGGCGTGCAAACTCGTGAAAAACCAATAAGTGGGCGATAATAAAAAAAAAACAGAAAAAAATTTGTTGTTGTTTTTTTCTGTTGACGCTAATTTCGTTGACGTAAGTATGCAGTAGATGTTATCGTTAGTTGTAATGTATTTTTATTATATGGTAATATTCTTTTTATTTAAAAACATCATTTACAAATCAAAATAATTTTAAAATGAAATTATAAATACATGAAGCTAATGGCGTTATAAAGTTGTCAGTGTATAGTATTTTTACCGTAACAAAATAGTATTTTTAGTAGTGGAGTATATATAGAATTAGTAAGAATATTTTGATGGGATTGCTTAGGAGATAGCTGCAGTTTATCAGATGGACAATTTTTATTGCTCTGTTCTATTTGCAGAAAACATATTTGTCATTTGTTTTTAACGTTGTTGGTTTATGTCGTTGTTTGGTGTGTTTATGTAGTTGGTTGTATGCTGTTCATGTAACTGGTTGTTTGTTGTTTGTATGTTGTTGTTTGCGTATTGTTAAAATTATTGTAATCACTTTCAATTTGTTATATTTTCAATGCCAAATGTCACTTAAGTATATTCATGATTGAAGCAAATGTTGATTTGTTGTTACCTGGTGTTGTTTTGTTATTGCTATGTCGTTGAGAAGGTATGTAGTTGTTGACTGGTTTTATTATACCTCATACGACTCTAGTGCAAACTTTTTTGAAGCATTTAGATCACACCAAAGTTACAAGTGGAAAATGTTGTTGTAAGTTACAGTTGATGTGATCTGATGTTGGAATTACATCTGTTGGAACAACTAGTATTACATTTGTAGATGATTACAACAATTAAAACAATTGTCTTTTATGTTATTTTTCTTGCTTGTTGCAAAATTTAATTATTGTTGTTGAAGTTGCTGTAGCTTGCTGCAGTGTTTACGTTGTTGTAGTAGTTGTTGTTGTTATTGTAGTAGTAGTTGTTGTTGTAGTAGTTGTTGTTGTTGTTGTAGTTGTTGTTGTTGTTGTTGTGCGTATAATGAGATGTTGCGCAATGCTTGCGGGAGAAGATTTCTATAGCTCGCGACTTATTCATACTTATCTGGGCGTCATCATCAAAGAAACTCTCTGATAGGCAGCCTACTAACCGCAAACACACACATACAAAAACACACACACACAAACATACAAATATACATTCATACATACATACAAACATACATACAAACATACATACATACAAACATACATACATACATATATACATTCATACATACATACATACATACATAAATACATACATACATACATACATAAATACATACAAACTTGCATGTTTGTGGTTTCCCGCTTGTCTCATCTCATTTCTTCCCTGGAGGTCATTATTTTTTTCGTGTGTTTTTCAAAGTTTTTGTGTTTGTATGTGTGCGTGCATGTGTGTGTACATGTATGTATATGTTTGCGTGTGTGAGAACGTCCATGTGTGCTTGTATCTTCTGTGCTATTCGTGAATGTTTTTCTATTTTATGATTTACTGCTTCAACATACCTCATAATTTTGCATCAACAGTTTCATATGCACGCATACAAATTTAAATCATTAAAAGATTTCGTTACAAGAGGCAAAGAGCAAAAACATAGCATCAAAATTGCTAGACCTAGTTCTAGACACCCAGACAAACACACACACACACACACACACTCATACACACACACACATACACTCATACACACACAAATATACAAGGAGCAAAATGACGACCGACCAGATAAAGCTATCAAGAACGCCCATCTCCACCTACGTACAAACGTTTACGAGAAACATTCACGCACGTGAGAATTGTCATGTGTATGTGTGCGTGTGTATGTGTGTGTACAAATTTAAAAATACGCAAATACAACAGAAACGAGAAAACATTTATATTTAAATACCAACCTACCCTCAAATACCTTTTTTCATTCTGGCATCCATTCATCCAGTATTAGAGAGCTATGCAATGTTAGGCTAGGTTTCTAAGGAAAATTTCATATATGTTGTATAGTTCAATACATGTCGGTATGTGTGTATGTATCTATTTTGGGTTTTTTTTGCATGCAACGTGTATTTATTTTCATGATTATATGTTTGTTCTTGTGTTTACGTTATTGTGTGTGTGTATGTGTATATACAAAGTTTGTTGACCATTGATACAAAATATACAAAATTTGTTGACCATTGATTTACAGGCTCACAATTGCACGTGTATCAAAAATACATGCATACACACACAGACTCCTAGACACTAAAACTAACAAGCAAGCACCAACATTAATACACACACACACGCACACACACACACACACACACACACACACACACACGTACATATACACGTTCACACTTCGTTTGGTCATGGTCGTACGTACGTCGTCTGTGGTAATGCCTTTTATATCAAACGTCTCGTTTAAGACTCTCTGGCTAAAAATGAGCAGACGTTAAAAATAAATTTAAAAAATGAAAATGTCAGTTGAGTATTGAATATGTAAAAAAATGTTTGAAATGTTATGAATTAAAAAATCTGTTAGAACGATAATGTTGGGTGCTAAATAAAAATGCCAAACACAAATTGTTTGTATTATACACACACACCAAAAAATATCTACACACATACTCTTGCAAATACGCACACTTTTGTATACACGGATATAGGAAAACTTCATACAAAACAAACACATACACCATTTGAAAATAAAATACAATTACATACAATGAGGTTTATAAACATAGAACATACATACAAACGTGAATACATACATACATACACATATACGTGCATGAAAATGCAGAAAGACAAAGACACATACACACAGGTGCACACACACAGGTGCACAAACATACAAAGAAGCACACAGACGTAAACACATACAAAGAAGTATAGGCGTGTGTACGGCTTTGTGATGGCACCTCCGAGGATTAAGTGGATATTGAAGGATACTAGCATATGTTCTTTTCTATGTCTTTCTCTATCTCTGACTCTCTCTATATTTTTCTTTTCCTCTCTCTCTCTCTCTTTCTTTTTCTTTCTTTCTATCTCTGACTCTCTCTATATATTTCTCTCTCTCTTTTTCTTTCTCTCTCTTTCTTCCTACCTCTCTCTCATTCTCTAAATTTAACCTTCACATACTCTCTTTCTTTCTCAATTTTTTTCTCTGATTTTTACTTTATTCCACTCCTTTCTTATAATTTTGTTAAGTTTCTACATATGTATACGTGTGTTTATCTGCGTGTATGTGTGTGCGTGCGCGCGCGTGTGTGTGTGTATACCTGATCATATTCATGTAATGTATGGTAATTTATGTACGCAGACCACATATTATAAATACTGATAAACAAAATGTGTGCGTGTGCATGTGCTGACGTTTGTATGTATCATTTGATGTATGAATATCATCTAAATATATCATACGATGTACCATCTAAATGTATCATTTAACGTATCATCTAAATATATCATGTGATATATCTAAATACACATATACTAAACAACACATATAAAACAACACATACACATGTTATACACAACTACACATACACAACATCACATACTACACAACAACACATACAACATCACATACATAACAAACAACACATACACAACAACACATACACAACAACACATACACAGCAATACATGCACAACACAACACACACAACAAGCAATACAAACATACGCTTCGTTGGATCTGATGACGAAACAACACGAAGACTGACGCAAAATCTAATTATCTTTCTTTCTTTCATTCCTCCATTCTGTTTTTTACACATTCTTTCATTCGTTCGTTTATTTATTTTTTTTTATAATTCTCAATTCATTCGTTAAATTTTA